AGCGTGGACATTGCTCGTTTTCGCGCCGTTACCGAAAAGGAATCAAGTTACTGGCTTCAAGCCTATCCATCGTCCAATACAGGCACGTTGTTGGACAACAACGCTCTCTCGCTAGCTATTGGCTTACGGTTGGGGGCCCATATTAACGTACCACATTTCTGTGTCTGTGGCGAGTACGTCAATGAGCTTGGACATCACGGACTCTCGTGCCAGAAAAGCGCTGGGCGCATTCCAAGACACGCGTCTTTAAATGATATGATAAGAAGGGCGCTCACTACAATCAATGTTCCGGCTGTCTTGGAACCCATCGGAATTTTGAGGTCAGATGGGAAAAGGCCCGATGGAGTCACGCTGATTCCATGGTCAGTTGGTAGGTGCCTGGTATGGGATGCTACTTGTGTGGATACTGTGGCTCCCTGTCATTTAGATGGTACTTCGTCCCGCCCCGGTTCAGCTGCAGCTTCAGCAGAAATTACAAAAAAGCGGAAGTATTCGGGTTTGGGGTCTTCTTATTCTTTTTTGCCTTTCGCGGTTGAGACGATGGGCCCTTGGGGCCCTGAAGCAAGAAATTTTTTACAGAAATCTCCAAACGCTTGAAGGAGGTTACACATGATGCTAAGGCTGGCTGGTACTTTGCACAGAGAGTGAGTCTGGCTGTCCAACGAGGCAACGTAGCCAGTATCTTGGGGACTGTGCCTCCTTCAAGCGCGTTGGAAGATCTGTTCTACTGTGTGGGTTGAGTTATGTTAAATTATTTTGATTTGACTTTTTGTTAATAAAGAGACACAATAAAGTAGAAGAACAGTATGTTGCCAATACTATAGCAGAACCAACACTGAAACCTTCCCTATTTAATATTAACAAAAAATAATTAAAATTAATAGAATAATGTTTATTGAATAGATCGCGTGGCTCGTCGCCTGGACAGCAGCGAGGTCGTGGTGCTGAGTGCTCACGGAGACTCCGGCGTTTTTGACGATTCCACTCACATATTACCACTCGTGAGTATTTGTTTATTACCAGTGTTAGCCTAATGATCGCATTTCGACCATAACCACTGATAGCTCTCAGATTTAAATTCATTTGGTATGTAATAATAGGTTTTTCAATTTTAACCTTTTGAATGCGAACCGTCGATAAATCGACTCTATTAAGTAACATAAATTGCGGAGCGTCGGAATACCGATTTTTGCGCAGTTTGATTATAGGTATTACAACAAATAATGTCACTGTCATTGACTGTATCCTTAGCATTAGAGTAGCATATATGTAGTTAATGTACGTCTGTAAACAGGACACGTCGCACGTCTCCGTGGTGACGGTCGGGAACGAGGAGGTCCGGGTACGAGACTCGGCCGCGACCCACATAGAACTCAGCTCCGGCTCGACCAGACTCAGCCCGGACAGCTTTGAGAGGTAACGGAAGCTTTGAACAGTGAAACACACAATATCCTTAAGGTCGATGAAATGTGATTTGAAAAATTGCATAATAATGTTGGGAGTCGAGACCGCGAATTGGCAATGCTGGACGGCTTCAGGGTTTGTAGAGCGATGCTGGTTGACCGGTAAGATCGGTATTTGAAGTCGTCGTGGCCTACAGGATAAGACACCAGGTGCATTTGTGTCGAGCGATGCATCGATGTTCGAATCCCAATTTTTCTAATGAAATACACGTACTTGACAAATGCTCACGATTCATTTTCACAGTGAAGGAATAACAACATCGTGTAATAAGAATCAAACTCGCAAAATTATAATACGGGTAGGTACCACCGCCCTGCCTATTTCTGCCGTGAAGCAGTAATGCGTTTCGGTTTGAAGGCCGGGGCAGCCGTTGTAACTATACTGAGACCTTAGAACTCATATCTCAAGGTGGGTGGCCGTATTTACGTTGTAGATGTCTATAGCAGCGGTCGGGGAACTTTTTTAATTATTACCCCATAATATTTTTGTGAAAGTTGATATTACCCCATGGCAAAGAACAAAAAAAATTATAGCCCCCATGATAATTTTGAAAAGAAAACAATAACTAAAAATTTAATGATTCTAAAGAAATGCTCACTTCAATATACACTTTTTACTCACAAAAGCTTCATTTTTACCCCCCAAAATTTCATTTTACCCCATTTGGGGTAATTTACCCGGTTCCCCGACCGCTGGTTTATAGGCTCCGCAGGTGGGCTATGAGCTCGTCCAACTATCTTATCTATAATTCCCATGTCTGATGGTGCGTCCGTGTGCATGTCGCAGCCGGCGCTCGCAGTCGGACAGCGCGTCGCTGGGCTCGGCGGGGTCGCGCGCGCCCGACACCGACTCCCTGGTCGCGGCGCCCCCCTGCGAACACCGGAACGGCGGTACCAGGTAACAACTTTATTACTATTTTTTATTGCTTGTTTACGCATCAACTCCTCTTTCGCAAAGTCGGGAAAGATGCACGCAGCGCGGCAAGGGAGGAGGGGTGGCAAATCGGCGGAACGGCGAGCTTCAAATTAAAATAAAAAATAATTTAATAATATTTTGTAATTTAACGGCAGCCTTCACAAACCACCTAAGAGAAATCACAAAGGAAATACAGTCTGAAATTCACAATCAAGAACATTGCTTAAATGGGTGGATGAGCTCACAGACTACTTTATGTTAAGTGGTCACTGGAGCCCATAGACATGTACGACGTAAATGCGCCGCCCACCTTGAGATATAAGTTCTAAGGTCTCAGTATAGTTGCGGATGCCCCACCCTTCAAACCGAAACGCATTACTGCTTCACGGCAGAAATAGGCAGGGCGGTGGTTTTTATTATACGGTGTTATTCCTTCACCGTGGAAGTCAATCGTGAGCATTTGTTGAGCAATTTTTCTAATGAAATATACGTAATTTCATTAGAAAAATTGGTACCCGCCTGCGGGATTTAAACACCGGTGTATCGTTACATACGAATGCACCGGACGTCTTATCCTTTAGGCCACGATGACTTCCAAAAACAATGCAATGTTAGGTGCAGAGTCTGTGTTGTATATATCTATTTTATGTTTATGTAGCCGTTCAAATGGTGTGAGCGAGTATTGTTTAATAAACAAGCGATAGTGTTCTGTGGATACGTCCTTTATTTACAATGATACAGACAATACTGACGTGCTGTAGGCACAGTACATCCCCCTTAATAAGTATACTCGTACAATATTATTTTAAACATAGAAAAAAATGATTAAGTATTTTATTGTTATAACTAATAGTTTCCTTTAACACTAAACAGAATAATATATTGCTACACGCACTTTTTCACTAAGTTCTTGTCCTTATTACATAACACTATATGATAACTCGCGGCATTGGTGGCGGTCCGCTGTCGGAGCTCGGATCACCTCCTCTTGTCCCCACCATCGGAAACTCTTGCAACTCGCGCCTCATGTAGCGCCCGTAGGTCAACTTGCAGCGCTTCCACAGCAAATATAGTATTGCGGCTAAGATGCAGGTGATAATGAACAGCAGATAAGATTCATATTTGCGGTATGTCGTCTCCTTTTCATCGTCAAACGTTGCGGCATTATTGCCGGCACCATTCTGTGCGATTATAATTCGTTCATCCTGAGTCTTGCTTTGCTGCTTGCCCATCTCGATCGTAAAAGCTTTACGGATAACGTTAATAAAATGACAATTATAATGTGCTCACGGTGTGAAACGAACTACGGGTTTGATAGTTCGGCCGTATCGAGACACTTTTGGTTGATTGTTTACAGTTGCCGTATTTGGTGCGGTCGCCGTCGGAAATTCTATACTGTTGTTAAGTGCAAATGCTGGCTTCAATCGATCTATACTAATGATTTTCTCCGTATCTTGCTGCATTATTTTATAATATTTTTCTGTTTTGCTAATCACCTTAAACGGACCTGTATAAGGCTGCGTTAAGGGCTTTGTAACCCTGTCGACACGCACAAATACATGGGTACAGTTTTTAAGATCGGGGTGAACAAATATCTTTCCTTGGTGTGTCTCTTTTTTCGGTATTGCAGCTAAGTTTGCAATCTTCCTGCGCAATTCTTGTAAAAATGCGATGTTTTCAGAGGATACTTGC